GGAAGTATACAAGATAGACGCATAACTTCTCCGAAAATATTCACAGTCTTCCGAAACTTGTGATGAATTGGTTTGGTGACCTAGTGGCACGGTGTTGCCATTTCCTCAGCATAAATGGACAATTTTTACTGCAAAGTGTGGCACGGAAAAATATGTACTACTTTGGTTTGGTTTTCGAATACTTTTGACTCCCTTACTGGACATACTGGACAGACGTACCGAAGAAAACGAGTGTACCATCTTCACCACTTGTCGAGTCTGTGGACAGTCGTCGCGAAAGTAGAAACTCATTGAAACAAACAGTCATCGCGACTGCTTGTTGACGAATTTGCCCAGCATCCCTGCCTTCCTTGTTTTGGCATTGCATGGAATTTCCAGTCGTCGGTCGTGTGGCTCGAAGAATGGCAAGGCGAGTGACCGTCGGAATCGCCAGTGTTTTCACTTGCAGCTGAGTACATGACAACCTCAGTTTGGCCACGGGCGACATGTTCGTTGCTGCAGGCGGTGCCTCGACGTCGCACGCATTGTTTGACTTGACGGGAGACCTCAACCTCACGTTCGGTCTCCGCTTCACCTACCGCGGCATGAACTCGTGCAAGTCTCAGGCCCTCGATTCGTTGTTTGGACTGGTCATTGTGGCTGGTGTCGCCGCCGTGGCCAAGTCGACGTTGTTGGTCGGGTGCAAATTGACAGCGAATCACGGGCAACGTGACGACGGCGGGTCGGTAGCTCGGGGGCGGTCCCATGAACCAATCAAGTGTGTGTAAACATGCCTCAAAACATGCAGATCATCTTCATGCGACGAAGAGGCGGAGCACAACCACGCCGTCGAGTCCGCGTGCGCCGTTGCCGTGACGATTGTCCCAATAGATCCCCCTCGTTCAGTGGATCGCAGTCGAAGAAACACTCGAGCACGTTTCGTGGAACTGTCTGCCGCCTAGGCGCCTGGGATACGACTCGTCCACGTATAGAGATATGGATTGAAACTCATTTCGATGGCGCCAAACCGCCGGTGCTTGTCGCTGCCGCTGCTGGCGCCCAACGTGGTCACACTCATCTCGCCAGAGTCAAACTTCGGTTGCGGCCTCCAAACCAAGCTCGTTCACAGTCTTATCCGGGTCCCAAGGTCCCCAGCACCATTCCAGTGTCGAAAATAGTTGCCGTCCCGTATTTATAGCTCCAGCGATGTCCGCCCTAGCGTACATATCGGTGTACTTGTGAATTGTGCCCCCCAGAGCGATGCACAACAACGTTGTCACGATCGAGCCGCTGTCGTGGCGATATCGAATCGAGCCGGTCGCGTCAGGCGGCGCGATCTTCACGGTGCCGTGCCACAAGCCAACGGCCCAAGTCGTGTTCCTGTCGGTTTTCATGGCCATTTGGCTTGGCATGGGCATCTTCGCATGGTTGGGGACGGGGAGTCCCATTCCGATGATCATGACGCTCTTTGGCGCCAGCTTATTGGGATGCATCATGGCGGCCATCTTGACCGGGGTCGAGTACGTGACGGTCACCCCCACCGTGTTCACGTACAAGTGGAAAGTCCTGTGCTTTGAACGCACCAAGCACTTTGGGACACAGCACATGGGCCGGGTGCACACGATAGTCAAGATGGGCGGCAGCCGGAGCCGTCCGTCCGTTCGACACCTCCTCGGGTTCCAGTACGGCGGTGCAGTCGTCGAATTCGGTTACTGTTTAGCCCCAAACGAAGTCGAACCGTTCATGCTCGAGTTGGCAAATTTTCTCGTGGACCATGCCAAACCAATAGCGTTGGGCGCCCCGTCCCCACAAAACCCGACGTTCCCTACAGCGTGGGCGGCGCCCCCCGTCGCAATTCAAGTCGCCCCCTCGTACGACTCGCAGCAGAAACAGAACGACTACTAACATATCAACAAAGGTCGTCGCCTTGCCTTCGCAGAACGTACGCGAAAGGGTTGGAAGTGGTGCTGCCGACTTGAAACAGTCATGGGCACCATCCATGGGACCACGAGCTGCAGTAGCACATGTCGACTTTTTCTCACACATCCAACGCACGCGCAGTT